GTAGAATGCGATAAATCTATATCTATATTCATATTATTATAGGCCGTGTCGTTAGTAGAATGAGATAACGAAATGTCGTAATCGAATGTATTGTTGGGCATATTTAATACTGGTGGATTATTTTTAATCTGCTGTAGAGTGGGAGATATAGGGCTAGTTGGAGTTGATACCTTCTTAGATTGAGATGCTTTTCTACTTGTCTTGATGGTCTATTCCTGATCCGTGTTGTGTGGTCTGGAAGCATTCGATGCCCTTGATGCTCTTCCTATTCTACCGACCGAACTGCTAGGAGCGTGCGGACGATTGTCGTCGCCGCCCGAAGACGACGCCGGCATTATACAAAAGGCGATAGCAAAACGTAGATACGGAGCGACAATTAACGAACGACTTGCTTCGATGGTTGACTTATCGCGACTGTTTCCAGATTTTAGAGGTGGGATTTTGTTGTCATTGGGCTTGATTAATCTTTTGGTCACTAACCAAAGATTTGAATCAGCGGGATGTATTGAAGATAAATATTTTTGATATGAATTTATTCTATGTTCTTCGAGTAGTAGTTTTACTTTTTTGGTAAGGAAATTTAGCTTCTTGCGATCTTCTGGTCTTCTATGAAGTTGCTATTGTTTTCTTATATGGTGTTTGTTCTTTATAATTTTTTGTATTGATGGGGTAATTTTTGAAATTGTAATTTTGACCCAAAGTTGGTTTTGAGGGAATTGTACACTGTTCTGCCGCATAGGAAATTGTTTCATGAAGGTGAGAGATTGCTACATCAGCCAATAATGTATTGGAGATATTCTTAGGAATTGTTATATTATCTGAAACGTATCGTTTGAATTTATCCCAGTCAGGTTTCCCGTTTATAAGTTTGCGAATTGGTTCAGATTGTATCAGATTACACTTAATGATACCACATCCGAAGTACATCACGAAATCATCTTCTACTCAATTTACATCGTATCACAAATTGATTACGCCAAAGTAATTGGTAAATTAAAACAATTTCTAATCAAAAAAACGGAGATAATCAATTATTACGAATAAGACTTCCACTGATTTGTTTTTAATGATTTATCCATTAAATTATAAAAAAGAGTTTCCTTTACAGTGATATTGAATAAAATACATAGGAAAAAACGTTGTACGAGTCTGTTGTGGTTTTCCGCTGTGAGAAGAATCCCGTCTTATAGGGAGTCTGTTCAAAAAGGTAAATGAGTAAAGAATTTGGTTGTTTCATTAATGAAGTAAAATAGTATATTCAATTACTGTTATGAGCTTACTTGTAATATCTGTGAATGTACAACCATAAATCGTTATTAAATAATTAGTATTATGAATTTTAAATTGTATATACCATTATAATGTTATACATACTTGTAGGTGTCTGGCCTGAAAATGTATAATATAATAATGATGAATACTACAAATTTTAGTAAACTTGATCAGTTGCTTAATAGATATTATATTAAATATAATTATATAATTATATTATATATAATAATTACTATAAATTATATTATTATTATAAATAATTATTTGTATAAATATATCGAGTATTATAGTATTAATATATATGTTACCTACCTTAAATGCCCGATCACTTAGGTAATAACCTAGGTTTTAATATTTAATGCTAGGTTTTACTGTTTGTACTCAGTAAATGTAGAAATTCTAAATTTTATTCGGGATTTTACTAAACACGTTGTGTACATCCTAGGATATACAAATTAACTTAGTAAAATCTGATCAATACACGACACATAACATTTAAGCTGCGTAAAAATTATAATTATATATTATTAAAACAAACTACTGACAGTTATTTAAATTCTTTATACAAAATAAAAATGCATCTTAAGTTGTAATCACACCTCAAACATTTTTGCTTGCAACGATTAATAACAATTATTTTGCGAAGATAAATTTACGACTGCAATGTGTTGMAGGGACTTGCATTTTATCGGGTTTAAGATTAATATTATACAACTTAAATTCCAGATTTCGACCTATGTAAAATTGATTCCCGCACATTATTGGCGGTAGTTGTTGAAATTATTGACGAAGAATTTTATCGATTAGGATCTAAAGCTGGGACATTAAATCAATTATTCACTAGAAATCAATTTACTTTATGCCAAGAAAAATCTATTTCAATATCCGATGTTCCAAATACAACAACAAGCATACGCCAAGCTGTTGCTCAACTTTCACTATCAGGCGGGCAAGGATTTTTGAGGTGTGATTGCCAGAAAAAATGTACAACTAAAAAATGCAAATGCCGCCAGTCAAATGTATTATGTAATAGTTGGTGTCATAATAGTGCAACATGTGTAAATAATAAACCAATTTTACTAATTTTTATGAAGGAAAAAAATGTTTTTATTAATTTTTAATGATTCTGTTTTTAAATGATTTTTATTTTGTATAAAGAATTTAAATAACTGTCATTAGTTTGTTTTAATAATATATAATTATAATTTTACGCAGCTTAAATGTTATGTGTCGTGTATTGATCAGCTTTTACTAAGTCAATTTGTATATCCTAGGATGTATACAGTGTGTTTAGTAAAATCCCGAATAAAATTTAGAATTTCAGCATTTACTGAGTACAAACAGTAAAACCTAGCATTAACTAGTAAACCCTAGGTTTACCTAGTGATCGGGCATTTACGGTAACATATACGTATATATATGCCTGTATTGTTACCTATATAATTTATTATTACAGTAATAAACTAATAACTAATATAGTACAGAAATTTATGTCCTTACCTGAGGCATAGCCTGCATGAATGTAATAAAGTAATTATAAATTAGTAACACATTCGGTATATCTAGTAGAACATTTTGTAAAAAAAATTTTTAACTATTCATAATTATTCAATTATGAATAGTTCATTTTAACATATATTTTAATATAAAATAAAGTTTTTATGATATACATACCTGCTACAATTTTTCGTAGATTTTCTATAAAAAAATATAAACATAAATAATATTTAATTTGTTCATATTATGTTATGATTAGCTAAAATAAAGATTAGTGTTTTTGGTTGTGACATAAAAAGTATAGACCATAGATACTTGAAACTTTTCACCTTTACGTAGATATAATATTTCATTATATATTTTATAGCTTAAAATAACCTTGTCTTATAACTGACATTTAAATATTATAATAATTAGTAAAAATATTTAATTCGAGTTATCTTTATTTGATGATAAGTTCTGAATAATAATATAGAAATATATATTCTTTAAACCAGCCTGTGATGAGTGAGTTTACATGAATGTTCAAGTGCCAAATATTTTGGTCCCCTTAGTCTTTCTAGATTTTGTTCCTTTGTAGACATGTAGTCTCGAATATTTGTTAAGAGATTGACTAACTAATAAATATTGATTTATGTCAGTGCTCAATTATTAATTACAAATTAGTAATAATATATTATATGATTTAACAACACACATATCTTTCTAATGATTTAGTATATTTAGTGCGGATTTGATAGCGATTTTTTAGATATTCTCAGCATTCTGTGTCTTTTGCATATAAAAAATGCGTTAGATGGATAACAATCATAAATCAAAATCATAAAATACACTGTTGTTTTTCTATGTGAGCATTATCAATTAACGGTCTATATAATATTACAATTGTTTAAAATGTAATTATTGTCAATAATTAAATTATTTATTATTCTTTTCAACTTATCAAAACAATTAAATGAAAATCGATAAATCTTAATAGTTTATACCAGATTACCAGCATATAATTTAAATAAACTTTTTTAAACTTAGGATATCTTTTCAAACTATTAATACATATTATTTATGTTTTCTTAGCTTACCATCGGGTTTATCTGAAATTATAATGAAATGTATTTTTTTGTAAGAAATATTCGTTTATGTTTTGTTATAATACTTATTAAAGATATTCATTCACATTTTAGATTTTAAAATAATGTGGTATAATTTAAAAAAAGCGAGTTAGTCGTGGATATCGCTCTGCTATACAGTAGGTTACTGTAATGGATGGGATTAAATTTGAATGCTATGATAGGTATCATTGTATACGAAAAACGATTCTGACCGAAGATGATTTGTCAGTCTAGGATATATTATATTTAAATATTGTCATATATTCTATTTTGAAACAAATATTTTATTTTTCAATTAAGACGCATT